GTGACTGAAGTAGAACACACTCTCTCTCTCGCTCTCTCTCTCTCTATTACGTTTATTTTACACTTTTTACGGTCGGGAAATATAATATTCAAGTGTTAACCACGAAAAACGTGGCAAATAAGCAGTCGCACTGTCGCTATGGGGTAATTTGCAGCGAGGACGGCGAGTGACCAGCCTATTTAGCTCTTCCAGCTCACGCCGGATTTGGCCTGCTCAGAAGACGGCTGAACAGCTGCTCTAACAAATATAAATAAAATTTGCCTTTCACCAAACTGCTAAATGAGTTGGATCTTTTATGCTTGGTCTTAGTATTTACATATTGAAAGCAAAGATTTTGTAATGTTGAACAATTTAGGTCAACTAAATCGAAATTAGTAATCTGCCGCGAAGTTTTCCCCGACTTCACATATGATTAAGTTCACATCGTCAGCATAAATTGTAGGAAGAAAAAAGGGAAATTAAGCTTCCATGACGTATGGGCATTATGATTTATGAAGCTGGTGATTTATGCTTCACATGGTTATATTTAAATGTACAAATGTAGCAAAATTTATTATTTTGTATCAATGAGTGAACAAGTGTGGGTGCGCGAGGTGTGTGGTCTATGTTTGAAAGAAATGCTTTTGCGCTTCTTGTAATTCTGTATTACTCGTCTATTTTTTAAAATTTAATTCTATAGTTATAATAATTTTTTTTAAAAACCTCCAGTTTTAATAAACTGTCCAACTGACGCTGCCTTGCCTTGTGTATCAATTTTTTTGATAGTTAGCTGATTTAATTGATACCAAAGGGAGATAACGTTGTTTATCTTGAAAATCTTGAACATCTTAAAAATTTCAGAACATGGCACTATTATAGCACGCAGAAGGTGACAAAATTCCGCTTCTGTAGGACAATAATATCGTGTTCGCGTGTTGTTTCACAACAATGAATATTGGGCAGGATAGAGTTCTTTCTGGTCGAACTCTTCTTCGACGAGCAACAGCCCAGGCATCAGAAATTTTGTCACAAATACAGAAGAGCACTCTTATAACTGGATCCACAAATGGTGGTACATCTAACAGTCACTTTGATGAAGATAATGAGTCAGTGTGGAGTGAAGCAGTATGTGACCAGGAAATGCTTCCCCTAAGAGCTGAGGATGATTCTTCTGACAACAATTTCATGTATGATTCTGATAATGAAGCAGAATGGACTGTTTTTGAAAATTTCGCCGGAACCGATTCTGCTGATAGCAGTGACTCTAGCAGTCTGCTAGACACGGATGACGAAGATGATTTGAGGGAGAAACTTCGCGAGTGGGCACTTAATAGTGCCACACCACTTACTCATGTGAATAGCCTACTCGTGCTTCTGAGACCTTATTTCCCAATGCTTCCAAAAGATGGCCGGACACTGTTGCGCACCACTACCAAGTACAATATTGAAGATATTGCAGGGGGCAAGTATTACCATTTTGGAATTGAGGCAGGTATAAAACTGAAATTGGAAAAATACCCATATCTTTGTCAGTGTGATGAACTATCACTTCAAGTGAACATTGATGGCTTACCATTATTTAAGAGTACACACGATTCATTCTGGCCAATTTTGGGATTAATACGTCAGGAAAATCAACCACAGCCTTTTGTAATTGGCTTATGGTCTGGAATTTCAAAGCCAACAGATGTAAATGCCTACCTGCAACATTTTGTTGATGAGATGAAGGCTATTTCAACCAATGGTGTTTACTTTGATGGCAAAGTTTATCAGGTTTCTATTGAAAATTTTGTCTGTGATTCACCAGCTCGTTCATTTGTTAAATATACAAAAGGACACAATGGATATTACGGGTGTGATTATTGTGATCAACGTGGAGTTTATTACATGAACAGAATGACTTTCCCTGAAGTGAATGCTACTTTAAGAACAGATGTATCATTTGATGAAATGGTTTGTGAGGAGCATCATCGTGGGGTATCCCGTTTGACAGAACTGAAGATTGGAATGATTACCAAATTTCCCCTTGACTATATGCACCTTATATGTCTGGGCATTGTCAAAAAAATTATCAACATTTGGATTAGTGGGCCATTACATGTGCGTGTGGGCACTAATGTCACAAGAACAATCTCTGATGGTCTTGTAGCCCTTGGACAATTTCTGCCAAGAGAGTTCATGAGAAAAGGAAGAAAATTAAGTGACGTTGAGCGGTGGAAAGCTACTGAGTTTAGGACATTTTTACTTTACACAGGACCTGTAGTTTTGAAAGGAAAAGTGTCTGACATTGTATATAAAAATTTCTTGATGTTGTCGGCTGGTATTTCTATATTATGTAATTCAAACCTGTGCCAGAAATATGTTGATTATGTGAAAGAAATGTTTGTATCTTTTGTTGAACATTTTGCGGCATTATATGGTAAAGAGATGGTCATATACAATGTTCATGTCTTAACACATTTAGCAGATCAATCAAAGTTATATGGTCCTTTACATCTATTTTCGGGATTTCCATTTGAAAACTACCTTCACAGTATCAAAAAATTAATAAGAAAACCTAAATTCCCCCTTCAACAAGCCATACGGCGTCTTGATGAAAAGATGTACTTGTCTCCATCTTTGAAAAGAAAAGAAACATTTTGCAAAAAAAAACATTTACACGGCCCTCTTCCTGCAACTTTTGAAAATGCTAAATGTGTACAGTACCAACAGATTTTTATGCCAAACTTTATGCTGTCTACAAAAACGCCAGATAATGCTGTTTTGATTGGTGAGGCTACGTTCATTGTTGTAAATTTAATTTGTGTGGGTGAGGTAAGACATTGTGTATGTAATAAATTTAGACGGCAAAGGCCTTTTTTTGATTACCCTTTCAATTCACATGAAATTAATATATCTTTAGTTAGTGACCTCACTGAACGTTTATACATATTTGATGTAACAGATATTGCTGCTAAGATTGTATTGTTACCTTTCAATGAAGAATATGTGTCTATTCCATTGCTTTAATTTGTGGAAATTAAATAAAAAAATTCTGAACTTGCACATGTGTTTTGTCATACAGAAGATATATTTGTTCAAATTAGGTTTCTTTCATTACATAATGAGGTGTTTCTCACCAGTCTTTAGCATCAATTTTGTGTGCATATGTGTGTGTGTGTGTGTGTGTGTGTGTGTAAATGTGTGTGTGCATATGTACCACCAGCTGGAGCAAGCGCATTCGTATAGACCCCCACATACACAAAATAAGGAACACAGCCACCAGTCTTGTGCTTGACAAGCTGTAAAAATGCAATCAACAAGAATTTTCAAAATATGCAAAAAATATATATATAACTAAAAATGGTACAATCAAAGTTAAGTTCATCGTAAGGTAGGTCAAAGTTCAATTCCAAGGTCACAGTAAATTGCCAGTATATGACTTCCTATTCAACTTCAATAG